AAAAAWKKTTTTTTAAAAGAAAAAATGGTTTGACTCATTTCTGTACCATGAGAGTTGGCAATTATCAAAATCCTAAAAGACCACATCATATTACTAAAGGCCCTTTTCCTTTTCCATAGTAATGTGGAAYAGGGCAAGAGTTTTCATGATCTTGACCAAGGCAACAAAAAGCAAATTATTTTAACTAAGTCTGAACCTTCCAACATATGCAATTCTTTACAATTGTGATCCCTGGGTTTCACGTTCCTATTTTCTTTCCACTTTCCAAATTTCTATTCCCTCCTCCGCACCATGTTTTCARAAATTGCACTATCTTTACATAACATATAACCTAGGGAATGGGAAGGATGTTAARTGTCTTCTGAAAGTGTGTTTGGGATTAACCTTGTTATGTGAAGTCCAGAGATAAAAGCTGCTTATCTGGGCAGGATGCTTTGACATCACTAGCTAGAAAATACCAAAGTAGCATAAACCAAAGCATAATCCCCATGAAAAAAAAAAAAAAAAAAGTTTTCTTGTTTGTTTGTTTTTCCCCATACTGACATTTCAGAACACTGCTTTCAAAAAAACCCCTTTTCRCCACCAGATTAAAAGTCAGGGAGACTCCATTTCCTAGTATGTTTTTCCAAGTTTTATGTTGATAAGAATGCATGGAGATGCTCTGCTGGATCAGGGCTCTAGTCTCCAAAGAATTACATCTCTGCAACAAAACACTTCACGATGAAAAAAAAAAGCCAGGGAGAGGATTCTAGCATCTTCAGAAGAATTCACGCATCAGAACAGTTAAAAATTATCCCTTGAGCAATAGCACAAATCTTCAGGTWTACTTCAAAACACCATAGCAGACACAGACACGAGTTTTCCATTTGCTCTTTAATGAACTCCCCCCACTGACTGCTGTACACTTGATGTTCTTGTCCAAGTCAACTCCCCTTGCCTCCTTCCTTCAGGCATTCCTAAACTGTAGCTCCTGAGGAATCCCTGCTACACGAGCAATTCAAGTGGAACTCCCACAGCAGGGTTAGGTACACACTGGACTGCTGGGTTACCAAGAGTCACAGTCTGGAAGGAAGAGTGCAGGCACTGAGCAAACTACCACACAGCTGGCACACCCAGAAGCTGTGCTGGAATTCTACTGCCTGTCCATACTTGTCTCATCTCACAGTGGACTGTCAATAGACCCTTAAACTCACTGTCACTGCCTGACTCCACAACAYTCCACAACTCTTTCTCCACCAGACTAAGGCATGTCCATGATATGTGTCTTGCTGCACTTCAAAGAGAGAAAGATGTGATGCATGGCTCACAGGATCAGAAAAGCAGGCCAGAACTCCAGAACTTTTAGTCTAGGAAACGCAACTTCAGATGTGAGGGGCAAACTATCTACTGTGAGCTGAACAACTGATGCAGATAAATAAATAAACCAGAGACCTTTCCTGCCTCTATTTCAGGATAAAAATAATTTGCTACCATTATTGTTCTAGAGCATTTTGCTGTTACACTTTCTAATGAAAGAGAGGAATAAAACGTCCACAGAAATATCACATCTCAAATTCTGAAAAAAAATAACATATGAGTRAACTTTCAAAAAAAATCATTTATGTAAAAGCATGTTCTATTTACAAAGAACATTTACAATGTTCTATTTAAGATAAGCATAACCACTACCAGAAAAAAATATACATAAAAGAAACACCTCATCTTTYGAATAAACATTTACAAATACTCTGCTTAAACTACTAGAAAAATTAAGACATTTGAAATCAAGAGTGCATTYTGCATGCAGTTACGATAGAAATTACATTACTGGACTTCAGTGTGTCATTTCTTATCATTGTGAACCACACACACCTGGGCTTTCCTAGAACACCACAGCCTGGCTATTACCTTAGGATCTCAAAAGGAGCACATGGATCTTCATTAACAAGTTATTAGCTACTCYTCGTTTTGCCATTAAAAAAGGTCACCCCAATTGCCTTCTCAGTAGGAAGGTCTGGTCTTGTCCAACTCGGCGTCCTTTTCCCTGAGTTTCCCTTTAGTGTTTTGCTAGGCATGAAGATGGTTGGCTTGGTACATCTGCAGGTCCTTGGTGAGCRCTCTTCCCGTTACAAGGCAGAGTTCAGAAATTCCAGGAGCTGTGCACGGTTCCGATCCCTCTGTAGAGCAGAGGAGCAGAAGCACTAATTGAACAGACCCGTACTCAGTGGAGCAAGGCCACACATCCCTGTTTTCTCTGGGGCTTCACATCCCAAAGCAAGTGCCATTTACACAGCTGGGTCTAACTAGCTACCAGTTAGGCRTGGGTGCCTGGGGGAAGTGCCAGGCAATGGGTACTGGGGAGACAAGCTGTCCCTGTCACTATTCCATGAGACACTTCCTAAGTGGCTCCCTGCAGAGGCTCCACTGGGTTGTCATCGTGCAGCTCACAGCCTGCCCAGGAGGGAACTCACAAGCACAACAGATGCCCCTCTCTGGTGTCTGAGGAAGCTTTCACTGTACTCACAGCAAGTCCTGTACTTTGGGCAGTATAATTTTTTTCCTACCCATAAATCAGCAGGTTGCAGCATAACAGAACCCTGAATTCAGGCTCTTTTTTTTACATAAGAGATGGCCCAACCAGTAGAACCCTTGTTTACAGTTCTTTTTTATAAAAAAAACACTATAAAATCTTTACATATGGTAAAGAACGCATGTTGTTCAATTCAGCAAGACCATGGGCACCAATCAAAAAAGGACCAGCATAAAATATTTGACATCAAATATTGTAACAAGAGGTTGCTGGAACAGAACTAGCATTCATAATTTAACACAAACTTCAGTGCCACAGAGAGAAGATAATGTGTTTTCAGTCAAATTTAACTCAGAATGCTCAGGGCTTCTTTGGTAGCTGTAGAATGAACTATTAGGGCTGAAGCAGAATCTACCAAGCTGTATACCTCAAGGAAGCATCACTTCCTGAGCAGCACCAGAGCCCTCTGCAGGTCACCCTAAGGTGTGGAAATTGTTGAAAAGTGGGAAGGTGTTATTTAAGGGCTGTGTCTGAACACCCATAGCAATAGAACAAAACATTATTCACAGTATCTCTTTCCTTGGGTATCTCAGCAAAAACATTTGATTGCTTTGAGAGAATGCAGGAGCATGTGGTCCTAATAATACTATTGCTTTTAAAAAAAAATCTTCTCTAAATAAAGGCTAGCCTTGCATGTGTTAGAAAAACACAGTAAAGCAGCAATTACTACAACTGATCATAAGAGTCTCAAAGAATTAGAACCAGTATAAAWTACATYTTTAGAGAAAGCTACAAGTCAGCTAACCATTAGAGACTGAAATTCTAAGAACCAGCMCAAGCAGCCTTTACTTTGTCTACTCATGCCTGAGAATTCCATGGACACKCTCAACACAAAACCTGCCAAAAGAATGAATTAAAATTTCTCAGACAGCATCACAGCCATGCTAAAAGACACACTCAGTTTACAACTCCTAACTACAAGACCCAGCCCTCTACAAAAGGCTATTATTAGAAAAATATTAAAAGACACAGTATTTTTTCTTAGGGATATTTAGACTATTTAACTCTYACCTCTATATCTTCCTTAGTCTTCTTTATTTTCATCTTTATTTTCTTTCCGGTTATCATGCTGTAGTTTTCATTCTTCTTTTTRTTTTTGAAGAACTAAAATGAGATCACACATTAAAAAGACATAAGCTTTGYTCTGTAATATTACAAATCTTAGGTAAAATTACAGACCATAATACTTTATACTKCCTGACAGTCCAAAACAACAGAGACAGGTTTCTATTATTGATGACCAAACTGGTGATCTTATGACAATTCAGATTAAATACAGGGATGAGAAATGAAACAGGACTTCACACTCAGAGAAGTATACCTTGGAAAGCTGGACAGGTCCTGTTTTCTCTTTCCTTTTCTTCTTTTCTTTCTTTTTCTTCATTTTGTTCTCCTTTTTCCTTTTCTACAAGAATATGACATATGCTCTTAAGTTTACAGACTAACAAGGGCAAAAAACTCCAAACCCACAAGTATATCTCAAGGCCCTGACAAGTCAAGACAGCCACTACTGCCTGCCTTTACCGCTGCTGGACAGGTAGCAGAAAGTAACCCACCAGAATCAGCAACCCCTGAGACTCTGAGAAGCAGAAAAGGTCTGATTCCCTTTTKTCTCTCTTTTGAAGTAACCCCAATATTTAAAATCACTGAAAATGAAACAGAAAAATTACAACAGCAAGACTCTACCACTYGCTTATTTCACTGGCTGTAAATAGTTTCTTCTGACAATTTCGATAGTTATCAAGATTCCCCACYTCTCATTTCTTCAGAGATTACTCTAAACTCCAGCTGGACCAGCAAGGATTGGCAAAAGTAACTTCAATTTTTTTTTCTTTTTGTATACAGTCAAAGCATGATTCAGATTTACACAGCCACAGAAAAAAAGCATTGTCCTACATGACTTTAAAGGTTATTGAAATGTAAAKAATTGTTTTCTGTTTGTTAACTACTTATTTCTCCTTGTAAATATTTACCTTCTTGTTGTGTTTTTCTTTTTTCTTTTTCTTTGATTTAGATTTAGGGGAATCTAAAATTAAGGAAAAAAATAAACAATATCAAACCCTGTAAGTTTAGCATTCTGAAAAAGGCATGTGTTTTTACACATAAGACATGAAGAAATGTRAAACATAGGAAGAAAACGCTTTAATTCAGCTAAATATACTGACAYAGGTTGACACTAACCCTATGAAAGACAACACATTAACTTACTGCCACTTACTGGACTAACACGGAAACTGAAAATACCTGACTTACTGATTCTGCAGATGTGCCAGCTTCATGCGAGTCCCCAGAGTTAAATGCTTGAAATGCTATGACTAAAGCAGAGCTAAATCAAAACCCACAAGACCCAAAACTCTGGTTTCGAGAGACTAGTGAAGCAGAGAAAGATCTGTTTTCAAAATGTACCAAATAGAGGTGTTTAAATAAATACACCATATTGCTACCAAGTAATATTTATTTGAATGGCATTTTCTCTTGAAGTATTCTAACACAAGGACATTGCAAACTGTGTGTGGGGTCACCATTTACACACACAACAGGAAAGGGTTATGAGAGAAACACGCTGAACATGCAGCACTGGTATTCTGCACTGTCACTACGTATTGGTTTTGCCACCATTTAAAACAAGCTTTAAATGCACTCAAGAGTGCTATCAAAAYTGGTAAACCTCAGGTGCATGTGGACGTAGCTTACCTCTACTACTACTGCTTGAAGATGACCTTGATGATGAGCGTGACGAGGAGGAAGAAGTAGAAGAACTGCTAGAAGATGATGTGGATGAAACCGATGAGGATCTGCTTCTGCTGCGCTTTCGTTTCCTTTTTTCTTTTCCTTAGGACAACACAAAGCAACAGTGACAAGGCTGTTGTAACTGTGGCTTATAAAAATGACTCTTAGCAGAATTTAAACACAATGCGTTTCCCCCGGTGAACACACACACAAACACCACAGAGCAGCAACACATCACAGCGCCTACCTCGGGCCTTCAGCCCTTCTTCTGAGGTTGCACACAGCGTCCTGCTTTTTTCATCCTTCCTGTTATCCATATCTAGTCACAGACAAAGGTACATTCAATAACATCACTTCCAAAAGATTTGGGGGGGGGGGGGGGGAATGTGGGGATAGAGCAGAGCAGATACAGAGGAACCCTGCGAGCACGCCTAAGGGCAGCGCCATAGAATCACGGGATGGGTCAGGTCGGGAGACCACGGAGAGTCACCTGCTCCAACCTCCGTGCTCCAGCAGGGTGATCCCGGAGCACACGGCACAGGATGACACTGCCCTCCTGTGACACTGCCCCACACCGCTCAGGCACCCCGCCTCGCACCAGGAACCGGAGGCCCCGGCCGCGTTTGGGAGCCGCTAGCGCAGACGCCAGGGAGGTTTTATACCCACACCTCCGGCGGGGCTGTCGCTGGGTCACGGACCCCGGCCTGCAGTGGCCCGAGAGCCCCGCTCCCTCCCCGCCCGTGCCCAGCGGCCCCAGGGCCCGGCCCAGCCGCCCCAGGGCCCGACCCACCCGCTCGGGCTCCACCGCCGCCGCCACCCGGAAGGGCTGGGGCCGCCCGCCGCCGCTTCCTGCCCTCCCTCACGGCAGCCTGCCTGCCGAGCGKCCCCTTCCCCGCTGGAAAATGCCGKGCTCCCRAGCACTAGGKAGTYGTRGCATACCGGAACRATTCCTGTTCCTGCCCTGAACCGAAAAAACCCCAGCCCCTGCTGAGTCCAGGCCCGCCGCAAGCAGAAATTTTCATGGCAGTGCATCCTCGGACCTTGTGGAGATTCATCTGATCTAGCTTAGGATTTACTGAACTTGTATGTGCGGCTGCTTTACGATATTCAAGTGCAAACCAAAATACCCATGAAGCACATTGATTCTTAATCTAAAGCAGCGTTGGTTTGTTTTTGTTTTTTTTTGTTTTTTTTTTTTTTTTACAATTAGTGTAAACAAATATCCAGTACTCCACATCCTCCAAAGTCTGCTTAAATCCAGCCAAAAGGAATATAGGCCACAGTTACTCCAGAAGGATGATAAAATTATTTATTCTTACATTAGTTTATGTACACAGTAAAGACATTTGGCTAGAAAAATGCCTCTATTGTAGTAAGAGATAATCAAACAACTACAAACTATCAATAAATACATTAGAAACATACTATATGCTGATGTAGAAATACCCTAYGCTTTTGGTTACTTACCCAGTACAGTATTATTGAAAATTTTTGGTATTCTTCATGCAACATCAAAATTCTTCCTGACAATTCATGCTATACAACATTTTTTTCTTTATTAGGAATGGGATGAAATTTWAAATCGTGTTTACAAGTAGTAAAAAAAATCACTGAAAGTTTTTAACATAAATCTCTCGATTGCTGTACTAAAAAGAACCAATTTAAAGAAGGTCATCTGTAAAAAARTTAATATTCTCAACTAATTCTTTATAAAACAGGCAGTTATTTCAAAAGGGATGTTTCCATCACCCAGGATGAATAATTTGTGCTTCAAAATTTTAAAAGGAAGATTCATGGCAAAAACCAAAACCCAACCASTAGGTAGAGGAGAGACTGCAGTACRAACTGGCTAAAACCAAACATGCTTTCAAAGTCTGTCTAGGAAAACACTAAACACTTATCCACATCACTATGCCATCACTTACTCTAACAATTAGAAATGGAGTTTTAACAATACTTAGCTCTTTTCATGCCCAAACTTCTTCACAAACATTTAAATAGCCCTAACGCTTCTGCAAGTATTATTATCCCCATTTTACGCTTGGGGTGGTGGAGGCGGAGAGGATACAGACCAACCCATCCTTTTCATCTCGCCTCCCTTGCTTGTTCTTAATCACTTTCTGTATTTTACACTCAATGTACTGGAGAGTCCCAGGACACATTGGTGGTATGTTCCCATAAATTATTAGTAGTTATTACRGAAGATGTGTCATTTTGAAAGTTACATGACAAATATGACAGTAATGACTGACGTGAAATCCAGGCTCAGGGCTGATGTCCAAAGAATGCACAACACTGTCAAAACAAGCTTGCTCTTTCTGTAACCAAGTGTTATGCCTAATTYTTTCTGGTTTTCAGCTGAAATGACTCTTGAAATCAATGGTGGTGATACAGTACACATGAATAAAATTTGTTCCTGACTATCTGTSCCCTGGGAACATGGGAAGTCCCTATGGTGCCTCAGTACATCTTGACATAGTATAACAAAAAGGATGTCTAGATCAAAACAAAGATTTCATGTGTGCTAACCCACCATGAGGTACAGATTACTGAGGTCTCTTCCCTCCGCCCCCGAGTTAGAAAATACATGTGTCTGTTTCATTATGTCCTGAAAACCATGTGGGAAAGTAAATGTATAGCAAAATGACTGCAGATACAAAATACAGTATGTTGCCTTCCTCTTAGTATCAATCCTTGAATTATTTAGGTTGATAGCAACACCCCACACAGGAAGGGCATTTTTCATTTTGCCACATTTGCCCTCCTGAATTTTCTATCTTTACCTTTCAGTCTGTGCCCCATTTTGATTTTTATCCTGCCTAGTTTACTCTTACTCTAAACCCAGCTTAACTTCTTGCTGCCTCTTGATAAGTTTTGGAGCAACGAATAATGCCATGGTGTTTCACAACCTGGTCTGCAAGAGATGAAAGATGCAAAATTCTGYCACTTCTAATAACACAATGACTGAGCATGCAAAATTACATCCCTCTTACAGGTACCTGAAGGGCTTTAAAAAGGCACGTGTATTCTGTCACTTGTTCCTCAGTGCCTGATCTTGGTGGTTTTAGTGTGTCTTCAAAAAACCCTRTACAAWGCACACATTCCCTTGCAGTATGGAAGGAACTTGGAATAAAAATTAAGAGCTTTAGACATCACAGTCAYTGGTTGTTGGACTGTGTCATCCTTTAACAAACACTAGAGCTGCGCTGATTGTGAAAATTGGGTTCTTACAGCAACCTCACTCACTCCGTAATCCATTTATTCCCTTTTCTCCCAAACTTCTAGGAGAGAGGAAAAGTGCGTATTACCTGAGCTATTCCCCAAGTTCTTCCTGCCTGTTTGTAAAGCTGGTAGGCCAGAAAACATCTCTTTTGCACAGATGTGTAAGCAAAAGAACTGCAGTTTTGCCCCTCTTCCAGCAGTGCAGCCAAGAGCTGGTGGGCTGGCCGAGTGCCCTGCCTCTGGCCATGYCCTGAGAGGGGAGAAGCACCTGCAGCTTTTGGCTTCAGATGGGGACTGTGGATATTTACCACCAAAGGAAATCAGTCCCAAGGCACTAGGCAGGAATGGAAAGGACACAAGGAAGCTGTTGAGACCTAGAGATACTCTATACAGCTGAAATACCAGACTAAAAAAGTAAGAGGCATTGGCTCCTTCCTCTGGGCATTCTGGAAAAGGACAATTAAATCAAATAAAAACAATGCAAGATACTTGGCACATGTTTTCCCTGTCTAACTAAAGCCATTCTCCCTGCTTCAAAAATCCAGGAGATGGAGGGATCRAGACACACCAAGAATAGAATTTGCTAATGTTAAAATGTTTCCATCGCAGACAGATGAAATGCACTTGCACGTTTGGGCATGGCTTCACTTCTGTGTGAGGGAGAGGAGCCCACAGGCCTGCCTGGGCTCCAGGGAGTCTGCTAGAGGAGCTTCATCTCCAAATGCCAGTCTGGTGATGGGAGCCAAGCATTCCTCCAGCCTGGACTGAGCCAATCTGGATCGAATGCATGTCTGCATCAAACTGGACTTCTAGCTGCCTTAAAAATGCAGTCTTGAAAAAAAGGTTAGAAAAGGAAAGGCCAATGCTTTGGCAATTCATTTATCTGTCCTGCAGTCCAAAGCCRTGAAACATTCTCAGTAGCTTGACTGGTGGCAATTCACTATTGCATGGCTGGTGTTCACCACAAAAGCAGTTCCTAATGGTTACAGCAGTCACATTGATCAGGCACGCTTTTCACAGTTCCTCCAGATCAGTTAGATCCACAACCACTTTCAAAAAGAGAGTGTCATCTCTGATGTAGGTGTTCTTTGTGTTCTCCAAGACCGCGTGCGGCACGAAGCGTGGACAGCCYGAGGCGATGTTCATTTCTCCATCCGGCCTTTTGAAACTGCTGCTGTTGGGGTCAGCCCTGAAGACTTCCACGATGTGATTTTTTTTCCCACTTTGGTCCAAAAGCATAAGTGTAACTTTCTGCTTGAAAGGCCATAACAGTAGCGAGTCAAACTCACCCCTCATGACCACGAAGTAGAGGGAGATGTGCGTTCCCTTTCCCGAGCCATCTCCGTTCAGGTAGGCTCTAGCACACAACCTGTACCCGCAGCGGCTGGTGTAGAAGGGCTGGCTGGCTATGGACAGCACACGGCCTTCCACCGCCTCTTTTTTCTTCATCTTGTAGTCCGTGATTTTCCAGATTAATTTCCCGTTGTAGCACGTGCCTTCCAAAAGCTTAAATCGTTCTTCATTTTTATTGAGCTGTGCTTTGTGAATATTGATCTGGVGATCATGTTTGCTGGATTGATCTTCCAAAACAACTGAGAAGAGGAAAAAAAAAAAAAAGAGACATTTGGTAAASTAAAACTGTCAGAGCACTGGACAAAACAAGCACCCAGACTCAAGCTGGCAAAACCGATCTACCCAAGCCTGAGTACAGGCTATGAACTACAGCTGTTAACTTTTTTAAATCTGTAATTGCAGCTGATAGTTGAATAAGAAAAGCTGACAGCTATAAACTAGACTGAATGCCTGAATACCACCATGGCCTCCATATCACAGTGCATGAGCCAGACCAAGGCCAGCTCTGTGGCCCTGCAGTGCCAYAGGAGTTCAGGAGACATTGTGCAGCAGGGAAAGGTGAGAGAACACAGCACACACCATCACAGTTTGGTATTAGAATGCAAAAAGAAAACCTTTTCTACTGAAGAGCTGCAAATGACTGAGTGTAGCACCAGAGCCTGTAGTCAGCCACCAGTAAATGAGCAAAACCCTCCTACCTGTGCAGGAAAGTGCCAACATACCCAAGCGCTGATCGTACGTCTCCATCAGGGCAATCTTCTGTTTCACATTTTCAATTGTGTCAAACAGGGGCCGCAGGTCCAATTTATTCTGCTGCTGGTTTGCCATCTGTATTAGCTGTTTCACTTGTGATTCCAGGCGTGCAGACTTATCCAGGTGACTGGCCAGAGCCTTCCCAGTTTGTGCCATTGGAAGAGGGTGGGAAGTAGAGACAAGAGATATCTATAAAATCAGCTATTTGCTTTGAATTAAGGTAATGAAGTCTTTAGCATGTCAGCAGTATCAATGATATGATGATTCCAAGTGCTCTGCTGGTTTAGGAATGTATCCCAGTGCTCCTACATGATTAATTCAGCACTTTTACAGACTGAGAAGCCATCCTTAATTGGGACCCATTCACACTGCACCACTCCATTCAAATCATTAAAATTTACACSTGCATATTTGCCATGGACATCTGACTATGAGCATTTGTACAATACTTTTTGCCCAGATCACATATCCAAACTTCTTTATTGATTAAAATGAAAGGACAATACCATATTGTAAAAAAATATGGGGAGATTTGTTTTTGCTGTGCTAATAATGACACCTATTACTGGAGAAACATATTTCAGGATGTTGGAAAGCAATTGGTAAAAAAGGTAAAATCAATGTCTCACCTGTGTGCTTACCATCAAGTTGCTATTGTTACCAAACAGTTGTGTATACTGTCTGAATTCTTTCTCACACTTTTTAATCGCATCTGCTAGCTGCTGGATTTTAATCTCTTTACATTCCAGGCTCTTATACAAGTCAGATATCTACAGATGGAAAAATCAGAGTATAAATGCTAAGGAACACCAAAACATACAATAAAGAAATTATAACATATGTGACTATAAGAGACAGTGGAAAAGTTTACACTGCAAATCCTCTAAGTTAGATAGAGCACTCTTTAATTCACAATTTGTGGATAAGCACTGGCAGGAACTGAACATAAGGTAATCGGACTCTTGAATAGGTCTGTGTAGCTAAAGGTGCAAGAAAGGCTCCTATTTCTCATTTCCATCATGATAATCCATTTGGCTCTATAGTGAGATAACATGTGTATGTGTGCTTCTGTGTTTATGTAATGCATTTTTTTCCTCTGGTGAGGTCTAACCATTAAAAGAGATGAGTTGGTGAGAGATACAAACTTCAAAATCAAGTTATAGCAGTCTGGGACACTTATTTCTTGCATAAACAAGCAAAGAGTAAGTTCACCATCAGCTTGGATCCATTCAATTTTTTAGCAGGACTGGGTATACACCCAGTGTCACTTKCTGGGGCTGAAGAAGTGATCGTGAATGGAGAAGTCCTTGCAGCTGGCTCTGCTGTACTCCATGCTGCCTCCACACAGAGCAGGTAACCTGGGTACCTAAAGGCTGCTTTTGGAKAAACCTGGCCAGCCAAGGAAACTTTAAAATACTTTATCTCAAAACCTCGTATCCAGTGGAAAGCAAAGACTGAAAGCTAATGAGGTGAGTGATGGCAAGGAGCCTCCCACTGTGCCTGGTGCAGAATATACGTGCCTGAGCACAGAGAGGTTCCCCTGTAATTGACTGACTTTACTAGAAGAGCTTATTCTGTCTTCTGAGGTGTGAAAAGACCATAAAAACAGTCTTTTAAAATGTAGCTGAGCTAAACCAGGCAACAAATGTAGAATCTCGTATAATCCTCTAACTAGTCAAGAACTGCTGAAGAGTGCTCATTAAATATGACTTACCTGTTCTTCCAGCCGGGAGTTCTTGTCTAAAATCTGCAGCATGTGTTCCCTCAGGGCACTGTTTTCATGTTCAGCAAGTTTCCCTCTTTTAACCTGAGTGARGCAGAGAGGGAAGTGAAAGAATAAAATAATAAGATAAGCAAATTTTTGAAGCTGTTAGTAAAAAAATTATTGATGCAAACATTCATTTTGATGCAAACATTTGAAAGTGAGGGAAGAGCAGTCCTGATTCTCTAGCACAGCATCTTAGCCAACAGCAGAAATGGTTGTGAAAGGACATAAATTGGTCATTTTAATTATTCTGATTGGTTTGGGAGACAAAGTCCAGCCCTGATACAGACAAAGATGTGTAAAACAGTACCTTTACATGACAGCCATACTGCTTATATGGGCAGTCCACTTCTGCCTCGGGACACACAGTGTGGTGCTTTTCAATCTGCATGTATTAAYAAAGGAGTTTGTGATTAAATAAATACCAGGTAATTGGATGCACTAATAACATCTAAATGCCAGCACAAAGGGTGAATAAAGGCCACTGTCATGACACCACCAATCACTTAAACATGAAAATGAGTATTCAGACTCAATAAGCAAACCAGGTATTTTTCCATGCTGCAAAACACCAATGGCTTGCAGTGACAGAATAATCCACTTAGAAGATGGGAGATATATCCMTTTTAGGATCAAACAAAGGAAACACTTGAAATTTTATTGGCATAGGCCAATGTGGYCTGCAGCACAGCTTTCAGTTTTCATAAGTGTGTGTGATCTGCTGAATTGCAGTATCTGAAAAAAACAYAGTACCTCCTTTTTCAGAATTATTTGAGAACAGTTTTGGAGACAAGGCACAGGATAATCAGGACAGTCATTTTTCTCATGATTCTGAGGAGAAAGAAACAGAACAAGGCAATGGTTTTCATTTTTGTAAAGCAATATGCACAGAGGAAGTTATGCGAAAAGTAATCCCAAACATACATTTGCAAGCCACGTATCATCTTGTTGCATCAAGAGAGCATCAGTAGTTGGTATTACTTAAARCATGTTTATTATACTTTCTCCTTCAGCTACTCAGCCAAATTTTGTTTCAGGAGTTAAGTGCCATTGCAATGCTGGAAACCTTTCACTCAGCAACATCAAGGGGAAACGGGTGCCATAGATTCCTGGTAATGTTCATACTCTTACCTTTATGTTAATTAACACCACATATGTATTGCAGTACTGGCACATCTCTTCTCGGAATTGACAGTGCTGGCTCAAGTGTTCTTTCAAGTCTTTGCGAAGAATTTGATCCTGACACCCATCATTAGTGCACTGCATGCTTTCAAACAAACACTGCTGGAGATGCTCCTGCAACACACACCAGCAGATTCAATGCTAAATGGCCAGTGTGACCTGGCACGTTTCCTTGARCTAACAATCACCTAATCATTCAGAATGTGAATGGACACTAATATACTAAGGCTACAAAAAGCTAATGATGGTTTTATAAGAAACCCCTAAGGCAAAGCTGRAACAAGCTAACAGCCATAATATTTGCTACTTACAGCGCATAGCTGTCATAATCTTTGTACTTAAACCACATTGCTACAATAACTCTGAAGACAATCACKAGAATTTAGCTGATCATAAATACACGGAGCTGTCATGAAAATCAARGGCTTCAAAACTTGATCAAGCAAGCCAACCTGATATCGTCCCAGAATTATTTTTGAATTGCATTCAGGAAAGTTTTTGCAGAACACATGCAAGTTGAGAACTTCTCTTTTACAGCAGTTGTCTTTGAATACCTGTAAAGGAAGCAAAGCAGCCTTAATATGCAGTCATGTGGGTGTTATAAATAATCTAAAAGAACAAAACATCATGAGAGACTTCTACGTGTTCAAGTGTAGACTCCATAATTGTGAGTACAGCTTTTGATAATTCATGTTGAAAACTTGTATTAAAACTRTAAACAATTTCTGACATTTCTAATTAGCAAAGGGTTTTCCCCCCATATTGTTATTCCACAGATGCTGATCCTTCCCACAGCCAGCAGGACTAATAGCACAGGAGCCATATAACCCTGCCAAAGCCTGCCTGTATCTGGAAGAAAGCAGCTGGAGCTAACAGGCCCCAAAGGCCAAAACAGCTCTGTGCATGCTCCACTATGTTCAGGCAGTGCCTTTGGAATGGAGGTGATGCTGACATCTCCTTCCTATCACCTCTGAGAAACTGCACCATTCTCAGCAGTGTATGCAGAAGCAAATGAAGCCCCCAGAGCAAACTCTCAGTCTCATTTAGAGATCTTCCTGCACTGTTGTCATCAAAATTTGCATGAGGTAGAAGACAGCAAATGAAAAATAAAAATCCCATGGACAGYCTGATTATAATGTTCTATCAGGATTAGGAGAGAGGGGAAGGAGACATTTGATTTCACTGGAAAATTTCTGGCAGRACCAAGTATATAGCATACTTTCAAGCCTTGGAATATAAATAAGGRCAAAAGAATCCATTATAAAACAAAACAACCAAAACCAACAATGGYTTGCAAAACAAAAAGGATGAACTTCTCTTTCCTTCTAAAAGTCACCCAAAAGAAAATTAAGTCTTCAGGGTTAAAGAGATATAATGGAGATAGTCAAGACAGCAAATTATAGCCAAGTGATAATGAAGAAAACCAAATAAACAAGATACGAAGAAGAAGGTTTTGGTTTTTGAAGAAAACCAAATAAACAATCCCAGCAATACGGTGCATTGAAAAAGCAAGCCAATAAACTCTCCATAAAAAAAAAAAACCCAGACATCTGGTAACTTGGGAGGATTTTAAACTTTGTAAAATTCTTCAACACTATACTGGAAATACAGAAGACTAAAATGAAATAACTTTAGAACATGAGGTATAAAATAAAGCTTTAGCTAGCTCTCTGGGAGAGCATCACTGAATACACTGCTTGCAATAGCATCAATTCAGAGACAAAGAACTGCTCTGCCCTGAGCTAAAAGCTACCTTGTTCTCAGCTGTCTTGCCTTTCCCAAGTAAATGCTGACTGCTGAAATAAAGCTATAACCACTTACCTCGTGCATTTTTATTGTTTCTTTGTCGACAGGACAGGTGGGTAGTGCATTTAACTCTCTAGATCAAAAGAAGAGTTGTGTTAACCCACAGGAAATTCAATTTATTTTATGAAATTGCGCTATGTTATAATCTGACAGAAGTCAGCAGTTATACCATAAAAACAAAAAAATGCCTCAAAAACACTTTTATCTGGCAACTACACAGCCAAATTCTGCCCACAACTCAAAGAGGGCATAAAGCAGCAACTGTGAATGTGTCACAGAAAGCAGAGTTTGTCCTATGAGTGTTTAATGGTACAAACCACAAGATGTTTTTTAATTAAGAGGACTTTGTCACTCTCTGGCCATCTGCAGCTCACAAATGTCAAATCTCAAAAAAATCCCATTGTGTGCTTTAAGCCCATCCTTTGCCTAGTAGAAGCAGGGCCCTCCTTGCTACACCAGTAAAAAAAGATCTAATGGCTCCTATCTTAAAAARCTTCCAGAAATCCTGTAACAGGGTGCAGGAAAACATTCACTCAGSCAGTGCAAAAGGGAGGCAACCCAGAGACAAAGCAGCAAACATGAAGCATCTAAAATTCACAAAGGTAATTAGGGACATCCACCCACATAAAGAGGCTCCTCTGCAGCTTTTCCAGGCGAAATCCTGCCCTCAGGTACACCAAATAGKCCATAATGTATTCCCAGACAGCCTGGGGGGTAAACTCATTTGTACCTGCAGATAATTCCCAAGCAGAAGGGTGCCAGCAGCCTTGTGATCTGACTGTGCTATCAGGTAGTATTAACATCAATTTTATAATTCTGCTTAATTCAAAAGAATTACACAGAAGCAAACGAACACAGCCTACTCTAACCACCAGCACCTACACCGTGAGACATCAGTGCAGCAAATTCTTCTGAAGAGCACAGTGGCAGACAGACAGACCACAGCAGCATCTCACACAGTGGTGTATCAGCTTATATCAACAGTTTCTGCATGCTGATTTCCCTGYGGCTCACCAGCGCTGGGGAAGCTCTTTAGATACACCTAAAAACCACTGAGTATGCAGTGCCTGAGCTCAACAGCGCCCTTCCATTGACCCTTCAGCCTCTTACTGGGTCAGTAACATCATTATGGCACTCACTACTAATTTCTAGAAGACCTTGGCTGATTTTTTTTTAGGGAAGGGACTGAGGGGAGGAGGACAGGAGGAGTTTGCTCTCACCTCAGAGAAAGGATGCACTGCTGGCAGAAGCGGTGCCCGCATCCCGTCTGGTGGGGGTTGTGCAGGACCAGGTGACAATAGGCGCAYTTGTAACGCTCCTCCAGCCTTTCCACAAACTTGTAGTCGGCGTTGGGCTCGAAGTCCAGAGAGTTGGTGCTGGCGGAGTTCTGGCGCGTGAAGATGCCCGAGAGAGCAGYAGGTTCGTCACAGGCCATGGGAGCTGCGCTGGGAAGTGAAGCAGACACAGGGAAGAAGCTCTTCAAATCCTCCCTGGCAGCCACTCTGCCTCAGCTACCACTGCTGCTGGCAGGAGGGCTCTCATCTGCAGAGAGGAGAAGATTTCAGAGGGAAATGTGGTGCCAGCTATGGAGAAATAACAAAGCGCTCACAGAACCACAAAACAAATATGACACAGCAAGCATCAAAGCATGCTTCTCTGGAAAAGAGTTTTACAATCTGAAAATTATTCCACAGAATTGAGAATTTTATGGTTTGGTGGTTTTTTTTGGTTTTTTTTTTTTTTTTTTTTTTTTTTTTTTTTTTTTTTTTTTTTTTTTTTTTTTTTTTTTTTTTTTTTTTTTTTTTTTTTTCGCTTTTCTTCCAGCAGTTCATGGTCTCAAAAAAACTACAAGAGTCACAGACAAGGCTGGGGAAAGCAGAGGCCACGTCTTGGCCTTAATGCTCACAAGGAAAGTCTCCACTTAAAGCAGAGCCCACCCACATGAATTTACAAGTTCATTGCACAGGTTCAAGCAGGAGATGGCTTTGTGGTTCAAAACAAGGAGCATACAAAAAAAAAAAAAAGGTTTTACCTTCAATTTAGATGTTACAGAAGTTGAAGCTTGACATCTTTCTTTTTCCTGTTGATCATTCATTTACAGCAGTAAACTCTTATTTTACTTAATTATGTGAAAGCTTTTGGCTATATTAATCCTGTCTGAAAGAAGTGGTGGAAAAAARAAGAAAAAAAAGCAAGGTTGCAATCAGCAGTGTGACGTAAGTTTTTCTTTCAACTTACCATAACTCATACMCAGCACAGGAATGCAGTGTTAATTTTCCAATAGGAAAAACCATCAACACTTGTTCCAAGCCTTAAGTCACAAACCTTGAGATTTGCCACCGGTGCCTCAACCTTACAGTCTTTTTTTTTTTTGCAAGTAGCTCAAGGCCTAGAGCCACTCTGGTTGGMATTTCTTGCACCTTTGCACTTAGAAGACATTTTCCTCACAGGATTGTACAAAAGCACAACATCCCTAAGCWCTCAGATCATTTCACGAGGGAAGTCTCAGTTTTATTGTTTTGCTGTAGGATGCTACTTCTCCTCTGTATGCACCACCCACTCTGTCTGTCACTCAAGTCACTCTTACTGGCATCAGCACCTCTCTGAGAGCTCTCCCTCMTCTCCTGTAAGGTCACTGAGGCCACTTGCTGCTTTTGGAAGGAAGCAGGGCCAGCACATCACCATTAGCAACCTTGTGTCTGGCACGAAACCGTGTGCCCAGGACTGACACAGCGCCCTCCCTCCCTGCTGCAGTGGCCTCCTGGCCTGCGAAAGCAGCAATTAGAGAGCTGCCACAGAGCACCTCGGGCTTCAGAGAGCAACATCCATTTTCCTTTCTACTTTAGCAATCCACACTGGGCAAGGAAATCCTGYRGAYAGATAAYGTGCCTGATTCAAAAACATGCCGGRGCGCTTAACCAATTAAAATGTATTCCACAGCCAACATTTAAGTGCTCCTGTAACTCAGCACCCTTTTCTGTAGTCGTACACAGTGTTTACCTCCCCAGCTTGTGAGAGTCTCCCTGCCTTTCACCAGGCTGAGTGTCTGACATACTCCAGCACACCTGATCATATAACACTGGCAGCCCTCAGAAATATGAGCTGTAATCATATTCCAGCCATAAAGGCTTATTATTCCAACTGGAGTTTGCAAATTACTGTCTGATCCCTGCAAACAAACAGCCTTCTGCTTCAAGCTAGATGTAGTTGTCCATTTGCTCCTTTCTTTTTAAACAGCTGACCTTTTCTTCCCTGAAAATGGGGTTCCCRGTTCCCTGACACCAAGTAAAGAGCAATTCTATTTTCCTCACATCAACCAGAGATGCCAAAATTGAGCCTGAGGGATTACCAGCCTCTTGTCTGGGCTGCCTCAGCAGCAGCTGCCAGCAGCAGAGTGTGCCTGCTGCTTCTAAGGCAGATGGAGAGCTGTCACCATTAATTTCCAGAGTATGGACCACCTGCAGGATGAACTGCCCAAGAACTCACTCTGTTCAGTTGGTGACAACCGTGAAACAAGTTTCCTTCCTCTCTCATTACTGCTCTCTTTCCCATTTACTTGGCATCCAGTTTCCCCAGTCCAATTATGCTCCAGCACTTACATCATCTGATGGTAAGGTTTAGCAAGCTAATGCCACACCGTGTAAAAACACGCTAAAATAAAACTACCACCACYAACAAAAAAATTCTATGTTTTACCCATTTTGCCTTTAAGGATCTTCCTTAACTCCAGAAACTCCAGCTGGGGTGAGATGCTTTAGGCAAAAAAGTTATGGGACACATTAAAAAGAAACACAGTCAGCAGCCCAAGATCCCATCCAGAAACTCCTCCAGAGCTTTCACTGCTCATTAAATCAACAAAAATCAGTCCTATTTCTTTCTGCAAGGAGCACTCTGCTGTGGTACAACACCTTCCAAGTCTCTTGCTGAAATGAGAGCTTTAAACACCTTCATCATGCACTCAACCCAGATTCCACTCCTAAAAATGGAGCCTCTTGGCATCTCCATGAAAGCACCTCCTCCACCTCAGCCTCACTCAGCACAGTATTGCACAGCTGAGGGCAACTCGGGGCACAGGAAAGAGCAGCCCAGGTGAAAGGCGAGTCTGCCTGCTCAGAGGGCAGAGCGGAAACCTCTGGGTGCCCAGATCAGGGAGATCAGCACTGCTGCCAGCCTTGCAGGAGCTTTGCTGCAGGGTTTGCAGCTGTTCTGCTGGAAGGAACGGGCTGCCTCAGGAGGGGCCCTGTGGATGGCAATGCTCTGCCCAAGTTGGAGAGGTGCCCGTGTGAATCAGCTGGGGAGGCTCAGAGGAGCTGAGAAACAGCAGCCCTGTGCCAGACCTACTGCCAGCCAGTGCTCAGTGGGATGCCATCCAAGCCACCCYAGGCAGCGTGTAATTCCCATCCCGGCACTCACCAGTGACTCAGGGCGGGTTGCAGCAGCTTTGCTCCCACTTCTGGCTTCCAGCACATTGCCTCTCTGAACTGAAACCAAAGGGAAACCGTCAGGGGAAAAAGTGCTTTTTTTTTGTGAGTGAGAGCACCCCAGGGTTATCTGAATCAATTTCCTGCTTACGCTGATGCCTGGCCAGCGTAGGTAGGGGCTGAGGTAGCTTTCACTTCTGCCTGCTCCCAGCTACCAGCAARGGAAGGCGTCCTGCCTTAGTGTGTGCTGCAGTTTTTCAGCACACGTGCGAACTGTAATGCTGTTTTAAAATTGCAGAGAGCAGCAGGCTTGTGCTGCATAATGATGCTCTTGTGGCAGCCACAGTGCATGCTGCAAAAGGATTTTCACTGCAACTCCACAGCAACTGCACACACACAAAAACCCCCAACSCATGGAGACTGAAAATCTACGTTAAAAAATCTACATTAAAAAAAAAGAATTTCCCTATGCTGAAATAAATAGAATTAATTCTGCCCACACATAAAAAAAAGTGGTATGAATCACTAGAAGCTAAGCCCAAGTCCTATAAACAGCTACCAATGGGTGGAAGCTCAAAGGCAGTGCAGTACAAAGAGCTACCAGCTGCACCTTCCCACTACTTCAGCATCTCAGCCCTGCCTGCACCACTAGCTGCACAAGCAAAATACTTCTGGAACAACTCTTTAAAATTCGCTGCTTTAACCTCACTGKAAATAATCCAAGTGGGAGAATTTTCATAAGCTTTATCATTTGTGAGCTATTCTATTTTAACTACCACCACACCAAACTGAGCCCAAACATTTCCCATTAAAATGCCCCACGCTTAAAACTGCTYACTGTTCAGAAACTGAGCAGAACATAATAATAAGGAGAAAAATCAGCATGGGCATGACTTACTAGGATATAAAATTKCATCAACATTTTAAAGCCATGTTCAAACAGCTCCCCTCCAGCACTGCTGCTCCCCATCTACAGCACCAGCAGTTGGAATGACAGAGGTTGTGTGGAACCTTGATATCACATTGAACTACTGAGGACTGATTAACTTCTAGACACAAAAACATGCTTTCTGCACACAGAAAAAGAAAAAACCATTCCCTATGATGTGGTTGCTCTTTTAAAAGAGAATATGTTTTTCCTGCTTTCTCTCACACGAAGCCAAGCCCCCCTGAAAGGTCATCATGTTACCCCATGAGCAGTGAGGGCACCATAACAGCCAAAACCTCCAGGACAGCAGAGCCAGACACAGGGACTGCATGCCACCATCTCAGACTGAGAAAGGAAAGTATTTGGGTTGTTGTCACAGATTTGATCATCACACATGGACAGGACAGGATCCTTGGTCCTGTTGCCCAGCAAATGGGGGCTGAGAGCACAGCTTCTGCCAGGTTCACTGCATGAGGGGAGGGYGATGTTCAGCCACCCTCCAGGACTGGGGTATTCCCAGTGAAAAGCACCTTGATCATTTYCTCACTTATCAGCTTCCATCTCATACATACAACAGGGCATGGAAAAAACATTATACACCTACCTTTCTGTAGCTCTMGTTCAGCTCTGTTGCTTTCCCCTAAGACACTCGGTAGGGACAAGTCTTGGAAAATGCCTTGTCCCTCCCCCTAAAATTATCAACCTTTTATGGCACCTCAGGACTGTCATAGTCATAGAGGGAAAGGCTTTGCCAAATTTAGAAGTCTAAGATCAAGTCACTTCATTGGGAGCTGACAGGCAGAAACAGGATGGAGGGGAACACACCAAGCATTAAAACAACCCTCAACAACCTGCCTTATAAACTATTAAACTTATAAAYGGATTAGCTGCCTCCAGTACTTTTGAATTAAAATAAAAAAGTTGTATGATTTATTACTCTAAGACCCTCGAAAACCCCACTGTTTTGGGGACAGGAAATATGTGCCCCAACTCTTAACACAAAGTGGAAGTAACAGTTTGCTAAAAAATGACTAAAGGTATCTATACAGTTTGACATACAYATTAAAGACATAGGAAGTTACATGGAGTCGTGTGAAAACAGGAGATGATGACATCTGACATCACTGGGGGATCATCCTTGTCCCTTCCAACCCAGGAAGAGTTACAACATTTTGACTGCTCTGCAAGAGCAAAACACACTTGCAGAGTGCCCATGTGGGAGAAGGATGCTGGCTGCATCATGTGTGTCCCTCTGGCACAGAGGCTGAGGAGGGAAAGGATCCCCTGTGCACCAACACAGACCCACTGCTGAAGGGGMTCTCAGCTCAGGGATCACCCCACGAAGGGGAGCACTGCTCAGGGCTCACTCGCATTTCACCTGGCAGTAGTGAATCTTGGGAGCTGTTGTCCTGATCACTGAAAAGCTGCAGTGCAATGACCAGCTGGTACCCACAAGAGAGTATTTCTACCAGCAACAATTTCCTCTTGGATATGTGCCTCAAGGATGTTGGTGCAGAGGACAGCAGAATAAACATTTTCTTTCATATACAGCCACCGCTATCCTGCTTAAGTTCCAGTTGCAATAGTACTCATCCTCAAGGTACAGTAAAACCTTACTAAGCAAGCATCAGTTTGCTCATCTCCATAGGCAAATTTTCACTAAGCASAGTAAGACAGTAGGGTTTCCTTTGCATAGAGGTACAGTCAAGCATTGCAAGTCCCATAAGACTAGACTTCATCAGGTTTTTAAGACATAGATTACAACAGAGCATTTAAAAAAAAATTTAAAATACAGTCTTACAAGTAATAAAGTGTGTCTGGTGCTAAAGCAGCTTTGATTTTACAGCCAGTTTACTTATTTGCCACATCTACTGTTTTCCCTGGAGGTTCTAAAAATAATTAATTAATTAATTTTGCTTTATCAAGAAATCTATTTCTAATCAACACAATATTGCTACACCTTAAAATAACCTCATTCACAGCTGGAAAATAACCTTGTTGCCATCACTTCTGTGCCAGTCCCTGMATGTTTTATCACCTTCCTAGGCACCTTCAGTAAGAAGGCTTCACCACACACCCCTATGACACCGTGGCACCTCTGCCAGTTCAGGGGGTGAACTGAGTTCCCGAGATGTTTTTGTGTCTGCAGCCTTCCCCCAAGCCCTGTGTGCCAAGACACACCCCTGAATAGCCCTTCAGACATAAGAAATAATTCTGGCAAAGTTAAGCTCCTGCCAGCATGAACAAGACACATTTTGGTAAAGGCATACCTGGAAACTTTAGCTGGTCCTGAATGGGGAGAAAATGAGAGAGAGACAGAGACAGAGGGCACCAGCACGAGCTTTGTGGTTAACACAGCAGTATGAGCATTTTAAAACAGCAAGGGAGTGGAAATCCCCCAGAGTAGCTTTGAAAAGATCATGCATAAAAATGTTTTAGAAGTGTTAGGATAAAAGGCAAGCCACTGAAAAGTATTTTGCCTTACTGCAATGATGTAGGGACTGCAGATCTTACCATCTGGAGCAACACAAGGTTACCAAGGAYGTTTCTCACAGCTGGAATCCAAGATACAGAGCAGATTTCACCTTCCACAAAACTGGTGAGTGATATGATCAAATAAAATCATAGGCAGCAGGAAACACACAAGGCCATAAGAAATCCCAGCTCCAGTCCTGTGAATCCCTCTGCAGTAGCCTTGGCAAAGCCGGGTGAACCCASCCGTGGGCAGGAAGCGAAGTGGCGGCTCACGGAGGAAGCAGCTCTGCTTCGGTCACATCAGCTCATGCCACAGGCTGCACAGGCATGTCACATTTAAACAGAACTCTCAAACCAAAATAAAATCCACTTTAGGAAAATAAACATTTCATTTGGTTTTGTAATAACTTAAGTGGCCATAAACCCTAATGGCTTTGTAGTCTGAACTTAATTGTGCACACACAATTCTTGGCAGCCTCCATCTCTCTGACTCTGCATCAGCCTCCCTCCCCAGCCCAAAATGTGCTGCCCTCGTGGCAGTGCTATAGGCTCCATCTCTATCCCCACTCTTTCTTTATCCTCCTATGCCCTTTCCCTTTGCTTTCTGGTCTCTCTTTTTCATCTTTTTTTTCTTAATTTCCTAAATTAACATATCTTATTTTCTCTAAAAGCAATAATTTKTAAGTCTCCTTTTATTTAAAATACTAATTTTCTGAAGAATGTTTCTATTCTGTCTTGTAGAAAAGGCAACATATACTTTCTTTAGCCTTTTCCCTTTAACTGAGCTTGCCCCCAGAGCATTTCTAACCTATTTCAATTTCCATTGTTCCTCCCAGGAGATATCTCAACCTAATGCATGTTTTCCTGAACCTTCCATGAAGCTCTGGAACAGACAAATCATTGCATCGTGAAGTCACTGGCGAAGGGAAAGGCATCAATTTGCAGGCACGCTGCTTCTTTATGGGATCAATTAAATTGATTTGAGTTGCATTTCTCAGAACAGCCTCAGCTCACTTCTACAGCCAAGCTTTTTAACCCACAAGGTATCCTTTCCTCTTTGCCATCAACACCTGWCCCCAGGCTGCTTCCCGGTCAGGCTGTAGACTATTCACTCCCTCTGAACAGGATGACACCAGAACAGCCCAGCAGCTTTGTAGGCAGGCTTTCCTCAAGCCTGGCAGCTCTGAAGGAAAGACACATCCAGYTGGATCTGTCGGGAGGAGGCAGGAAATGTAGTGCTCTGCAAGCACAGCTCCAGGAAGCGCCATCTGCTTCTGGGAAACTTTGGGGAAAACCCCAAATGGAGAAGTTGAGTGGGAGCAGGATCTTAATTTTAAACAGTTTGACTCTGCAGATGAGTAGAGAGCAGCAGACCACTGTTACTGTTCGTGATCAGCCCTTGACAGGGGCTCCTCCAGCGCCAAGCACAGTGCTGAAACCCTGACCAAGGTTCAAGCAGACTCAAGGGGATGAACTTGAGTGAAAAGACAGATAACAACATGTCATTTAGGAGACAAAACAAAGGAAAAGAAACAGAAAAACAGAGAAACAAAAGTTACTGAAAAAAGAGTAACAGTATGGGACAGAGAGCAAGAAAACTAACTGTAATTTTTTATCTTTTCGTGTACTAAAGCCAAAGTGAGTCCTCACTTTTCCTA